GGTTTGTTCCACTTTGGAGTAAGCTGTTGGGGGAAGAATCAGTTTTGTTTTGTGTTTCCTTGACTGATGAAGCCTTCCGGATCGAAGGCGAAACGTTTCAGCACAAACAAAAAAACTGTCCAGATGACCTGAATGAAAAATGTTGGATTCATTTGGTATTGTTGAAAAACAAAAAAATTAGTCATGTAAACTTGGTTTCTACTGTGAATCATCTCTGAGCTTTAGAGGCTGGCTTTTCTCACTTGATCAAAATCCCTCAGTTGTGGTCGGAGAACTTTTCATAATTACGTGATTTTTTTTCTCTCTATGTGGTACAATGTACTGCTACCAAAAACACACTTTTTTTGATTGAGACGCATGTTTCAATGCATTTTTAAAGTATTTTTAAGCTGCAGGATAAATAGTGGGACATAAGTGGAATACAATAAAAATGGTCATCTACTAATTTGATGCTTCAATGCTTTTACACTGGCAGCATTACTGAAAAGACCAGTCAGTATGTTGGTGCACACACAGTGGGCATTCTCACATTTACTTTTTCAATGGCATAAAAAAAAAAACTGCACCACAAATCTCACAGAATTTGTTTAATAGCTCAATTTGGTTTAACATCCTGTAACAGGTGTCTGTATTCATCAGTTCAGTCTTTACTTACAATGTTTCCTTTGGGTCCAGGGTGGCCGTCCATTCCACCAACACCCTGTGCCAAAAATGAAGAGCAAAATGAGACACAAACGAGGAGAAAAGCTTTAAATCTGTGGCACAATGATTTTTTTATTTTCAAACTGAAGACCAAAAAACAAACAAAACAATAGTAATAATTATGTCTACTCTGTATTCAGCTTGTATAAGTAATTTGCTAATTGCTCCTGGTCCTGGTGTTATAAAAATTAGCTTCTCTCCACTGTTGACAATATTCTGAAAAGTCAAACTCAAGGCCACGAGCTGCTTTCCCTCTGCTCAGTCTGTGACAACTGAGTTGTGGATTCTTTGTTCTAGCTGCACACAAGAGCCTAAAAACTGGTTCAGCTCTCTGTACAGTAAATCTTTAGCAAGACTTTGTTTGAAATGATGATAGAATGATAAAAATGGGACTCACAGGTGGTCCAGGGGGTCCCTGGGGTCCTTTTGGTCCAAGCAAACCACGAGGCCCCTACAAGAAAGAAGAGAAATCAGATTGAGTGATACCATACTTATATTGTAAAAGCAGGATCAGGAGGACACATCTTTATTTTATCCTAAATCCAACTCTATGAAACCATAATTCGAGTTATTTAACCCATCATTTTGTACTGAAAGCCCTAACCAGTGCTGCATACCCTGGTGGACAAAATGAATCATAACAAGTGATGTCAGGGTCTTTCTTGTGGAATGAAAGTGGGTGGGAGGCTAATCCGACAGCTGCGATGCTGGCTGCCAGTTTCTTTCACTTCCAGCCTGATAAACACATGCTGTGGTAGAAGCATGTCTCACTCTATAGGACTGTGATATAAGATACATGTTGTCATAGAGAGCTGATACCATCACATGATGAGAGCAGACCCTGAGCTACTCCTCCATCGCACCATCTGTGAGGTTAGACTGAATAAAAGGGCATGCTGCCACTCACTGGTTCACCAGGAAGTCCCCTGGGTCCGATCTCTCCATCATCCCCCTGTGAAAGAGATGAAGTGGGTCAGACTGTGGAGCTGGCAATGAATAATAATGGAGGAGGAAGTGAGGACATGTGGGTCACATGGACAAAAACACAGAAATAGTAGGTGAAAAAGAAACAGTCTTCTACAGTCTGTAAATGCAGAGGAAACACAAAGATTGGAAACTGATCAAAGTGAAGACAAAAAGCTGTGTGAGAGAGAGGAGAAAGAATTAGAGAAAGTGGATTTTTTAATTCAGGTGAGGAGAAGAAGAGTAACAAGAGCACAGCTCTGAACATTTTTATGTTGTTACCCTCTCTCCATCTTCTCCTGGAGCACCAGGAGGTCCAGAGGGGCCGGGTTCTCCCTAAAAAAAGTAAACATTAATGCGCTTCATAGTGATTCATATTAAAGTAATTTTCATAAAACCCATAAAACTGCTCACTCTGTGGCCTTTTTCACCAGGAAGTCCAGCCAGACCATCAAACCCTCTGTCTCCCTAAAAAATTAAAATCAATAAAACGAGTTGAAACAAATCTGCTTTTAAACTGGTTTTATGAAACCTCAAGCACTGACGCCAAATAATATTTGTATCCAGAAACAAATACCTTCGGTCCAGTCTGGCCAGGCATTCCTCTGGCACCATCAGAACCAGACCGACCCTGTAGAAACCACAGAAAATCAGCTTTGTTAAGATTCATTTTATCATTTAGATACTTGTTTATTGTGCTGAAAGTTATTAACTTTTAATACAGAAATAAACAACCTGAAACAGAAAGGGATTTATAATTCTGATGTTGCTGAAGGCTTCTTGAACAACTCACCCTCCTGCCAGGCTTTCCAGGAGGTCCAGCAGATCCCATAGGTCCACGTGGTCCCTATAAGACCAAATACTTTTATCAATCAACAATCCCGCCCACCCCCCCAACACGTTTGATTTAAATATGCAAATATTTTTGGTAATTTATTAGAAGAAATAACCAAAAAACAGCTGTTTCAAGTGTTAGCCCTAAAACACATGGAGGATATTACAGTACCTGAGGTCCAGCTTCTCCAGACTCTCCTTTCAGTCCTGATACACCAGGGGGGCCCTGGGGGGAGAAAAGTATAGATAAAAACAGATTAATGCTAAGTAAACTTACATTTTTCCAACATATGTAAAACTGTAGAACAATAGTGTTTTTGCTTGTGAGCACTGAGGAATACACACCAGAGGACCAGGTCTTCCGGTCAAACCCATTGGACCGGTGGGGCCACGCATGGCGAGCTGAACATGCACAGAAACAGAAATGTCTCAAAAAATGGAGTCTTAAAGACAAAGCATCATGCGCAAAACCCTAATCTTAAAGCTAGTTAAAAAAAAAATAATAATTAAATAGTTGGGAAATAATCAAATAGCATTAACGTAACAAAAAAAACCCACTTAATTTTGGAGAAAAAGTAAAAACCCCATGACAGTACATTTAGAGAGGAATTGTTACCCGGGCCTGCTGCATGATGGCTTGCATTTGGGCCTCTTGCGCTGAAACAGCTGGTCCCTTCTGTCCAGAATCCCCTCCAGAACTGAGTCTGAACTATGGAGGGAACAGCAGGTTTTTAAAAAGAGTAAAGCAGATAATATGAAGAGACTGCAGGGAAATAAACTATGTCATATGTTTCAACAATTAACATTCATATTTAATTAATAAAATGACTGCAATTTAAAACAACTCCAAAGATACTGTGTTAAGCATCAACTTCAAACCAGAACCGTCAGTGGCTTTTGGAGAGCCATGAGGTTCAAGTTCTACTGCCATCTGGTGGTCATCATTGAGCCTTGCACCAAGCTGGAAATAAAGTGTTGCTTGATGCTTTCTCTGGCCAACAATTGATAGATGGGTTATGGGACAGTGCTCTCAGGAGGCTGACTGTCTACAGTCACAGATGCACAGCGACAAAACAAAAAGTAAAACATGCTCCAGGATTTTTAAGAAACACTTGCAGCTGATTCAGAACATCTGCTGCAGTTTTCATGAAAGTTCTTGCAGCACAGCAACATTTCACTACACACTGTTCCTCTTCATTGTTAGTAATGTTAGATTGGTCATCAACTGTGCGTCACTCAATTCTTCACCGTCAACAAAAGGAGACAATAGGTTCTCAGCTGAAATAGGATGAAATACCCATGTCTGTTTCTCATTTCTGAAGCTCGGAGATCAGATTTCAGGTCATGCTGTCTGTCGTGGGATACACCAGAACAACTGCAGTTCCTGTACAGACAGAGCTTGCCACTTGGTTCTGCCAAACAGATCTGTGTGAACCACCAAAACCACAACTTTACATCTGTACAGCTAATCAGGCTCAAGAGCATCTTCCAAGTGCAAGAAAATCAGAGACCAGAAGGATTAAAAAAAAAAAAAAAAAGAAGAAGAAGAAAAGATTTGTTATCTGAAGCTGGGTGCAAATGAGGCTAAAGCAAAACTTAAAAGTTGCTTAGTTCTACTTCAAGAAACAGATGCCTTCCTGAAAAGCCACCTGAACATTTTAATGTTGATTTCACAGACTGAGCAGGGCGTTGTTAAATTTGAGCTGTCGGAGCCCAGAGGCGCTGTGTCACCACAAGGGGTTGCTAATGCATAAAGATAAATCTGAACATGTTTACAAGAGGTTCATTACAGTTGTTCTCATCGGAAATCCCCTTCCTCCCAGCAGACTGTGTAAAGCATGTGTCCGACTTATTGATAAAACAGACAGAGATGAATTGGACTTTGACTGAGCGTCAAGATGAAGTCATGGCAAAGGTTTTAGCCATTCAAACACTAAAGGACAGCTTTTCTAGTTTCACTGAGTTTCCTTCTCAATTTAACAACTCTAATTTACTTACAGGCAGCATCAGGACAGTTCCAGGGGGTCCTGGCAGACCATCAGCACCAGGAAGGCCAGGACGACCCGGTAGACCCTTAAATGGAAAATGACACACATATAAGCACGCACACACCCATAAACAAACAGAACTTGTGTATTTCTTGAGCACTTGAAATTTGTGAGATATAAACATTTGTCTTACCCTCTCTCCAGAATCTCCAGGACCGCCTGGTGGGCCAGAAGGACCTGGGGGTCCAGGAAGACCCTATTTTAAACAAAATACCTTATTTGATTTTTATTTGTACATGAAGGTGGCCACACACAAGGAGAAAGGAGTTCATGTAGTAAAAGGGGAGAAGTAGTGGAGCTGCAGTCTGTATTTGCTAACTCATTGTGTCAGAAGGTTGACACCATCTGCAGGGTGTCAGTACCATCAGTGTCTTTAAAACCTTCCTAACATTCCTTAAAGTTTGCCAAATTTCCAACCTCTTCAGTGTCAGACTTTAAATCTGAGCTTTTATTTTTTTTAAAGACAAACAAAATGATTATACAAAGCTGTAATATCTTCAACATCAGAAAGAGAAAATGAAGACAGAAAATGGTTGAGGATGTGGAAAGACTTACAGAATCTGACAGACTGACTTACCGTTGGCCCCTCAGGCCCTGGCGGACCTTCCAACAGCATTCCCTAAAAACACACACAAACGAATATCATGAAATGCCGCAGGAGTCTGATTGTGCCCAACAATACCTTAGCGTGCACTTTGAGCAGCTTTGGCTAAAAGAGTTAAATACACATGAAAACATTCCCCAAACCCCGATCATGGTTCCTCCCTGCTAACTCAGCACACATTCCTGCCAGTCTCTCAGGTATGCTTCCAATTTATTCAGGGGTAAGAGAGGGTGCTTGGATGCTATCAAGGCTAACACATGCTGAAATTGCACTCCAAACGGTAGGCTAAATGGACTGTATTTATTTAGTGCCTATCAAGATACTCAAAGCGATTTACAATACAATCTGTGCCCTCATTTACCCATTCATACAGCGCTCTACTAGATCTGAATCTGAATCTGTAGAGACCAGTCAGTGCTTTAGATCAGTGGTTTCTAACCCTGGTCCTTGAGGAATGTCATCCTGCATGTTTGAGTTGTTTCCCTGCTCCATCACATCTGATTCAGTGATTTTATTACTTCCTGAATTTCTGTCAGTGTCTGTTAACACCCATTCATTCAAATTGGGTGTGTAAAAGCAGGGAAACAACTAAAACATGCAGGATGGTGTTCCTCAAGACCATGGTTGGGAACAATTGCTTTTGACGACATTCATACACTAATTGGACACACACCAGAGGCAATGTAGGGTTCATTGTCTTGCCCAGGGACACTTCAACATTTGACTGCTGTTGGAATTCAACTCCCAACTCTCACATTGGAGGACAACTGCTCTAACCACTCAGCCACAGCTGCCCCAGCTGACTAGAAGCCAACAGAGGTATTTAGTTTGCACTGATTAATACATTTGCATTCTGAAATCAGACTCAGCTTTGAAATAAAAACAATTATGTCCTTCAAAAAAGTTAAATCTGGTCCTCTGGACATTAAAAAAAAAAAGCAATAAAATGTAGATACGTTTCGTCTCTCATCCGAAAGACTTCCTCAGTCTGAGGTGCTGTATTCAGCTCAGTCTCTTAAATAGCACCTTCTCAGAGTGGATCAACCAGTTTGCTGCTGACAACCAAAACCAGCTGCTCACATGGTCAAAAAGGACCATCAGCGTAACAATGGATCATTAGCACACTGATGGCTGTTTAATATTCACAGGAGGCTGAGTGATACTAGCAATCACAGCATTGTAAGAGGGGGACAGTTGAACACGGAGGCCTCCACCCCTGTTTAATGATGGACGATTTCTTCTCACAAAGATGGCCTCCTTTACTCCTCTCTCAAACCATTGTTCCTCTCTGTCCAGGATGTGAACATCTTCATCCCTGAAAGAGTGACCGCTGGCCTGGAGATGAGTGTAGACCGCAGAATCATGGCCTGATGATGATGGTCTTCTGTGCTGGGCCATCCTTTTGGCCAGTGGCTGTTTAGTTTCCCCGATGTAAGACTGATCACAGCCCTCCTGACACTGAACAGCATACACAATATTACTCTGTTTGTGCCGGGGTCCTTCTTGACCATGTGAGCAGCTGGTCTTGGCTGACAGCAGCAAACTGGTTGATCCACTCTGAGAAGGTGCTATTTAGGAGACTGATCTGAATAAAGCACCTCAGACTGAAGAAGTCTTTTGGATGAGAGACGAAACATATCTACATGTTTTTGCTTTTTTTTTTTTTTAATGTCCAGAGGACCAGATTGAACATTTTTGGATTTTTCTACCTGGATTATTGAGCATGCATCAGGATAATTATGTCATTGTTTGTTTGTTTTTTCCTCATCCTAAACAGAGGATCATTTCATCTTGTGCACTTCCTGCCTGGCTGTTGACTGCAACATGTGAGAGAAGATAGAAGTGTAAGTCCAAAAACCCACAGAGTCATCGAGGAAACAGACTCAACATTTCTGATTCCACATTTAAACACAGACAAAAGTTCATTAATACACTCAGAGGAGCTCTGAGTCATCTGTTTAAAGTAAAGCAGCTGTGAGTCTATTAGAGATAATAATAGATTATTCATCTTTATGGATACTAACATATGAGAGTGTGATTTCAGTTCAGGACTGTCTGCCTTCCACCTGACAATACAGTTTTTCTAATAGAAAAGCAGAAAAAGTTATTTTCTGTATTTAGTTCCTTCTTTCTTGTGTTTAAACACCACCCAGCCTTTGTTTAAACAATATTGTCAGTCCCTGCATGGCCTGTCTTAAAGTGTTTATATTCTGGCCCTGATAAACAGCGACGAGTTGGGCCTTGTATGAGGATATTATACAGAATTTGAGTGGGTCCAAATAAAAATGGTTTGGTGAGAAGATTCTTATTGAGGAATGAGGGATGGATTGTGTTTATATGTGGCTCACACATATGTGCCTGCATATTCAAACTGTGCACACATGCAACTTACATCTGCTGCTCAACTATGTTGTTCAAACAGAACTACTCACAGGCTCAATAACAGCGGGTTCTCCCTTCTGTCCTTTCTCACCACGAGCTCCATCCACCTATGCATCAAACATACACACACTGCATAAGTACAAAACGTTAGATCTTATTTCTATTCAGCATCGTTGTGTGGATATTTCTGTTTTTTTGTCACCTGTCCGTAGTACTCATCAGTCTCAGCAGGCAGCACTTTGCCGTCGTATTCTTCGTACATGTCAACATTTCCTAAATCACCATAGTCAGTGATGTCTTCTTCCTTGAACTTTTCCAGATCTGGGTAGTAATCGTCTCCTGTCTTGGTGGAGGTGGACCCACTGGTTCCAGTGCTGGATGATCCGCCACCAGTGGTAGAAGATCCTCCCACAGATGTAGAACCTCCACCTACAGACACGGAACCCCCACCGGAAGATACAGAACCACCTCCTACAGAAACAGAACCACTGCTGACAGATACGGAACCGCCACCTCCAGTTGAGCCACCACCGATGGTGACGGTAGAACTGCTGCTGTCCCCTCCTTCACCAGTTGTGTAGTACCCATCCACTCCATAATCATACACATCACTGTAGTCACTGTAGGAACTTTCAACCTTTAAAAACAAAGACATTTCTGTTGAGTTAAAATTATATAAAATATATGTATAATATGTTACTAAATACATGAACTATTCATACAACAACAAAAACAAACCAGAGAACAAACCTACAGGACAGAAAAACGACAAATGCTATCTTTAACAGGGCATTCATCAGTCTATTTTGCAACCTGTCAAGGTTTCTGGGACAGATGCCTATCTCCAACAGTCAAAGAGAGTCTTAAATAGGTTGTTTCCAAAACTACATTTCACAATAGTGGATAGAAAGCTTAATTGTTCACACATTCAGGGTGAAAATGTCTGGGGCCATGGTTCTTTGAGGTGCAATGTTCATTCAGGGCCAGGGATCACTCTCTTCCTCAAGCGGAGGAGTTCCCAGATCTGGGAATCTTGTTAATATGTGATGGTACGGTGGTGAGGGAGATAGATTGATGGCTCCAGTCTGTTGTGGTGAAGATGGAGCAGAGCCAAAAGACAGCTCAGTTTATTTGCTCTTCTATAATCTAACCATTATTACCTATGATCATGAGAACTGGATCATGACTGAAAGAATGGGAACCTGGATACAAGTGGCTGAAATAAACATTTATGTAGAGTGGCAGGCTCAGCCTTAGAGGTAAGGTGAGGAGCTCCATCATTCAGGGGAGCTACCTTTACTCATTGAAAGAAGCCATCTGTCTAGGATACCTCTTGGGCAAGTCCCACTGGAAGGAGACCTGGAGACAGACAGAACTCTCTGGAAATATCATAAATCCTCTTTGGCCAGGACACACCTTGAGATCCCCAGGAGGAGCTGGGGAGTGTTGGATGTCTGGATTTCACTCCTGAACTCAAACTCGGATAAGTGGCAGAAAATGGATGGATTGAAGTAATGGTTCTGTTTAGATTTCTACAGACCCAGACTGGATTTTGTTCACACACCCCACCACCACCACCACCACCACCACCCCAAAAAAAAAGAAAGTAGAACATACCAGAAGGCAAAAACAAAAATACTTAATGTACAACAAATCTGGGGTGAAAGTTCAACTTACTTTTGTTTTGTTGCTGATGACTGTTATTGTGTTTGCTCCACCAGTGGTGATGACCTTCTCATTGATTTCTGAACCAGCTTCCAGATCCACCTTGCCTCCTGCTCCTAAATCCAGCTCACCCCCAGTGCCAGTACTGGTAATTGTGATTCGGCGAGAGGTGTCACCTCCAGGTGCAGCGGTAGATTCATCATAGTAATAGTTGTTGTAGGCATCATAGCTGTCGTAGGGGGTGTTCTCATCTCGGTAAGTTTCTTCTCCTTGATTAACTGAAGATGAGCTGGATGATGAACTGGATGAAGAGCTGGTGGAGATGGCAGCAGAGCCAGTACCACCAGAACCGCCTCTCACAACTTCTTTCACAGTGCTCACCACATTATCGGCACCTACAACCTGTTAAGTACAAAATGGATCATTACTAAATAATCCAAGCCCTTTGAATAACACAAATTGTGTTGAGGAATGAAGTCCAACTGTTTTGAGCAGAAGGCTGACCGTCGAATACCTCAAATTTTGTTGTGACCGTCTCCGTTTCGGAGGTTGAATCATAAGGCTTCCCTTCAATGTCATCATAATAAGGATATTCATAATAGTAGTTTCCTTCTGTAGGCTGAAAACACACAATTATTACACTGACACTGAGTGAAAGAGAAGCAGTCAGTGATTAACATCATGGTTTAAAAAAATAGATCTACAGTTCTGTTGCCTCTGGGTGTCTGGCCATTGATCAGAACCGTATAGCTTATACTAGATCACTGTTGGAACCTGCAGCGACTGAAAGACTAATTACTTTTTCACACTTTTTCTAATGAGCCTATCATAGTTCACAGAGAGGGAAAAAAGCTACTTTTGTGTACTTAACAGGACCCAGGCAGAGCAATAGGTGCAAAAAACAAGCTTCATTTCTGAGCTTTATTGATAAACTGAACTGCCTTAAAACTGTGTTCTTAAATAAAACAAAATAAAAAATATAGACTTGAAAAGGAGGGATTTAACTCACATATTCATCTGTTTTTGCATCTGTATTGGGGTCCTGGTTCTGTGGCTGGTCAGGTACTGACACTTCACAGTCGGGGCTGTAGTGCTCACAGTAGTCATACGCAGCACGGTGGTCTGCTACAATCATTAGCTGCTGGATGTCTCCCTGGAAACCACAAAACACAGAAAAGTCATAAAATGTTGACTGGAAACAGCTCAAGGCTGTGCATGTATGTCAACAAACAGATGAGATACAGTAATAGGAGGGGAGGGGTGGGGATAAAAGCTGTATTTGAACATTGGATACAGTTCTGAACCAGGATCTGAAAATGGGTCAAGCTGAGGGTGAAAGATGAGGAATATTGTTTAAGGGTCCATCATTGTTGCTTTACAGTAGAGTTGAACAAAAAGCACAAACAAGCCATGAAGCATTCATTAGCTGCAGAGGAGACAGCACTCAAATAAAGAGGGTGTATTTTTTTAGTGCAGACACTCTACCCAGATCTACATGACACATAAAGGATTCTGCCTTTAAGCTGAACAATCAAACCTAGAAATCCAGCCAGCTGATCTGCCCTGACTTCAACGGATCAGCTGAAAGAAAAAAGTGAATGAAAAAAGAATAAACCTTTATGACAGAGCATGCAAAATAAAAATAAAAAATCACACGCACACACAAGAGAAGAAGAGAAAGAGAAGGCTCAAAAGGATCCCCAGGCTACATGGGGAGCTGGGTGTGTTCACCACATGTTCCTCTAAAGAATGCACATGGCACCAAAATGCTGTTCTGCATCTATCCAAACATGTCCTGCTCACACTTCCAAACCCAGTGATGTCACTCCACATCCATCAAACACATAGTCAACGGAGCTGAGACAGCTCCATCTCTGTAGTTCAGAGAAAACATGAAGCAACACACACATGACCCATGGTTTTAATTACGTTCATGTGCCAAAGGTCTCAAGGTTTTCTATTCTGACAAACAGAAATTGGTTGAATTTGTGGTCTGACCAAAGACTATTCGCTGAAGAGCTCAACTCCTACAGTTTTACTGAAACATACCACAATAAAGTCCTTGTCTTAGATCTTTAATGAATCTTACAAAGCCCTCACAAGTTGTTGCTTCCTGCCCTGACTATCAGAAGAAAAAAAAAATCTAACCCTTCCTCCAAAACAAAGAGACAACAGCAACCATTGCACACAACTCTCATACAAAGGGAAGATTTGGCATCATCTTGCAAAACCTGTTCCACATAAAATGAACACTGTTTCTTGTAGACCTGCAGGGGTTAGTTTTAAGTTAGGTAATGAGCTCAAAGGGTGACATTTGAAGTGAAATTTGGACACAGAAAGCTTCCTGCATTTATCATATACAACATCACATCATCTGCAAAAACATTAACACAGAAAGTAGCCAGAAAACATGAAGCTTACATTTATTGAATGTTTATAACTTAAATAATAATAATAATAATAATAAATACTTGAATATTATTCCAGGCGGATACGTCACAAATCCCTTTCAGAGATTTTTTTTTCTCAGTAAGTTTAGCAAAGATTGGTCAAAATCCAACAACTATGTCTGAACACGTTAAACATACTGCCTGTAACAAATTTTTAACATTTAATTTAAACTCAAACTCTTGAATGAAGGAATGCAAAATTCACAGTAGAGCCTTTTTCCTCATCAAATCATCTTTAATCTATTATCAGCATATGATTTTAAGACCTTTGATCTTAAAAGCTTGGCAAGTATATGCCCATGCCTAGATAAGTCAAAAAGAGATTTCATGCTGTTGGGCTTGAAGCTAATGCATCTCGTCAGTCAAATGTTTACTCAGCTCCCAGCAAGCTGGTACATTCAGCATCCTCTCAGCGCAACAACATACTCAGAGCAAACACATGCTTGTAGTAACAAACGTAGTTTTCTAGAGAACTCAGAGACAAATGAAACAAATGTACAAAAGTGCAGTTTTAGCTAATGTAGCATTCTTTCATTTAGGTACGATATTTTTAAGTCAAACTTTTTTATGGTCCTAAAAAAACAAATTTAAAAGCAGGATCTTGTTCAACTATCCATTTTCCCTGTCTGAACAAAGACTTCTGACCTTTCCTCCACCTCTCTGCTCTAAGATTAATATCATGGCTGACAGAGTGGCAACTATTAATACCTATTTGGCAGAACATTATGTCAAGAATGACCAGACTTTTATTTCAAGTTGTTTCATTTCTGTGTGAGAAGTTGATGATCAGACCTAAATGGTTCTAGGGTCCCATCTAGTCCTCTGACTTTAGTTGGTGTGTTATATAGTGCCTGAGAAGTGTGCACAGTGATCAGTGTACCTGCTGAATATTTGTCAGCGAATCACAGGATGGTGGCTGTAATGCTTTTTCTCAAAAGATGAACAATATCAGAAAGGGAAGATAATTTTTAAAGATTTGACTGTATTGTGTAAATGAATTTAGAATGCCAGAAGATGCAGTCATCAGAATTATTTACTCTGATTTAAATATTTAATCTGTAGCCAGAAGGCGTCATGCAGGGTCTGCTGCACCCCAACTGTTTGGAATATTTTCAGTTGACTTTCTCACTTTTTTATTTTTGTTGCTTATTTGTTTATTTTGTCACAATACATATCCTCTAAGCCCAGATCTAAATATTATTAAAAGCTGAAAACAGACATGATGCCATTTTCTGAAATAGTAGCTGAAAATTGGACAGCAAGCTGTAGAGAGCAAATAAACGTTTTTTTTATTTTTGTTCTTTTCTGTTGAACATTTTAATGATTCATTTACATTTCCTGTGCACTTTTGAACTATGGGGGAAAATGATATGAATGTTATAACATAGGTGTTCTGACTCACATTTGAAAATCTAATTTATTTGCAAAGTCTATTAAAAACAATCAGAACATGAATTCCTGAATTATATTTTTGTTTAGAAAGAGCATCAACACTAAAATAAAATGAGAAGATGCTTAGGCTGTGCCTTCTGTAACCTGAAGCAAAGAAAAGAAAAACAAGTCCTAAATATGCCAGTTGAGTTACTCACATTTTTTTTTATTACTGAGAGTTGTGACTGCTGGAATCACATTGAGTCTGTGTTTTGGTAAATTGAAGGCTCATGATAATCATCTACAAGTTTGATGTTTGTGAGACTAATTTCCAACTGCTGTCCAATGATGTGCAAGTTAATTTGTTTTTAATCAAATAATCTCATGAACCTCTTGATAGTTTTTAATGAAATTCTCAGAAAGTAACTATCGGATGTGCATCTACATCTAGCTAACTTCTGAGGTCAACCAAATTCATTACGGCCATTTCAGCTAATCAAACTTAGCTAACACAAAAATAGCAGTAACTCAATAGTTTTGATAAATTTTAAGCTAGAAGTTGATGTGGTAGTAGCCGAGAGTCATTTACAATAAGCAAAGCACTAACACATTGCACAAGGTTTTTGTATTAAATGGCATTGACAATTGAAGTCAATCATGTCTGTCTGTTAACAAAATATCTCATGACCTGCTGGATGGATTTTATTAAAACTCTCAAATGGGATAAGTATCTACAAGTGATTTATCATTGGTACCTAAATTATTTTAAATGGCCGTCATAGCTTTATCAACCTTAGGTAATACAACAATTAATATAATTCAGTTATTTTAAAGTTATTGAGATATAACCTGGTTTTGTAGTAGCTGAAACTTATCCCTAACACATATTCTGAATGCTAACGCATTGCACAAGATCTTTTGATATCACTTTAGATTAGATTGTGCATAACAGTATTTTCAAACTTTTATCAAAATTACTATACCTCCATCACTTCTCAACATTAAGTGATATCAGTTTAAAACTCTGGCATGGAAGTTTTTAATTCTTTCTGCTTTTGTCATAACTTTTCCCCCCGGTATCATCCTAATGTTCAATCTCTTTATTCCAGCAGAAGCTCAGTGTCCCACAGCTGTGCAGAGGTGGATGATGGATGTTCAGTGTTTAAAATGAGGTCACACTCAAACAGAAATAAGCCTCCTGGTGCTCTGCAAGTCTTTTCTGTTCACATTCCATTCTTGTTGGTTTCTTTTTCCTCCATCTCCCGGAGCAGTGTGAGGAATGTCAAGGCTGATTATCCCAACCTAAATTCAGCTGGATGAGATGATTCATCATAAACCTCCAGTCTAATAAGAACACTCTCCGAGCATCATGGGAAATGTGGTTAATGATGTGTGACACATACACAAAGTGGAGTGCAGTTGGAGGAGTTTCACTGAATCTGTTTCACTCTAAAAGCTTGTGTGTGTGTGAGCAGTTGTACTGGGGAGAAACTGACTGATACCCCACTGAGTGTCCTGCCCAGCAATTTATTATCCAATAGAAGTCCTGTCATTCTGCACATTGTCACATGTATTTAACTGTGAAACATCCAGCAAAACTGCATAAAGTACTAGGGATGCTTAGCAGAGATTGTTGGCTTTAGTGGCTGCCAGATTGGGCCATCAAACACAACTAGATCTAGTTTAATTTGGGGTTTAAAGTTTTAAATTACTTATAACTTGTTATCACCACCCACTGTAAAAGATGGACAATAATGCGGCTGTGGCTGAGTGGTTAGAGCAGTCGTCCTCCAATGCAAGAGTTGGGGGTTCGAATCCACCAGCAGTCACATGCTGAAGTGTCCCTGGGCAAGACACTGAACCCCTCATAGCCGCTGATGTGTGTCCCATCAGTGTATGAATGTGATAAAGCTCTGATTAGTCTCTTTAGAATGATTTGTTCAATTAGCTTTGTAGAGATCTAGTAGAGTGCTGTATGAATGGGTAAATGAAGACACAGATTGTAGTGTAAAGCGCTTTGAGTATCTTGAAATATGATAGAAAAGTGCTATATAAGTACAGTTCATTTACCAGATGTTGGTGTGGTAGTACCTAAATATTTACCTCAACATGTACTCCGAGTATTAACAGATTGCATGAAATCTTTGCTTAAAATGTTAACATTAACTGTTGGAGTCAGTCCTGTTGGTCTGTTAGCAAAGTTTGTTGTGAACAACTGGACACATTTTAATGTCATTTTAAGAAAATAACCACTGGATATTCATCTACAACTGATTGGCTTTGGATTCTAATTGATTCAAGGTTAGCACAGCTAAGCGTGCTTAGCAAAGAC